ATCTAATAAGTTAGAAAAGTTGATATACATTATTTACTCGAGTTTTTCCTATTAACTGTATAATTAACCAAGTACTAAACAAAATGGAGCATTAAACACAAAGAGATAGGCACTTTGTAGCTAGCTTCGGACTTCCAAATACCATTAGAGATGTTCAATGAACTTCTTATTGACATTCTCAGGAGAATCACTTTCTGCAGCATTGGCAATGAACATTTGAAGGATTTTTGTCAAAACAAGATGTTTGTCAAGAAATCTAAATAATTCGTTTCGGTTAGTCTTTTTTTTTTTTTTTTTTTTTTGAGATAGACATAGTCGAGTTCCGGTTCTTTAATGGGGCCTTGTGCCAGGATCTGTGCTTCAGGGAGTTCAGTAGTGATTTTTGGTAAGATCCTCTCGGTTCCAAACAGGTGACCAAATTCAATGTCGGTCCTGCAGAACTGAATAATGTAGTCCTTCAAGAAATTAATTATAACACTGTAAGCTTTAATGCTTATATCACTTGATTGACGATCTCAGAAGTGAGCATCAATGGTGAGAGAGTCATTTGGGTTGATTGATGGAAAGTCGACATTCGTGATGGTGATGGTTGATTCTTTGTTCCGAGAGTCATAATATATGTACAACATGCAGTTAAGATCAAACTTACTATGAACCTTATTACCATATCTAACGATCATGGTAATTCTATTCAAAGACCACACTTCCTTTTAGGGTCGTGAATTGACGGAGTAGAAGGTTCGTAATCTCTCACGCTCTGTCATGTTGATTATTTAAGGATCATCATTTCGATGAATATGAGCGTACTTGATATAGAAGTGACCGTGAGGAGAGATTGGTTGGTCAAGTTGATCGGCATCATGTGTTGGAAGATCATAATACATGAAGGGTACAAATTATATGTCGTGAATAACTCCTTCTCGAAAAAGAGGAGGTATGTCTAGCATCAGATTCAGATTGTCTTTCAGAGCTTGAATCCGAATGCTTTCTTCCAAAGCTTGATCGATTTGTTCTTGAGACAAGCTCTCAGGCTTTGCCAACGTCTTCATTGCGATGTCCAATTCAGTAGCAATCTATTTGCCTTTGTCTTGTGCAACATACAATTAAGATCAAACTGTTGGATTAGTGTCTAAGTCCATAACTATTTTGGTATGTACTTGACCCGATGGTGCATGGTCCTTTTGGGTTGCTTTCACCAAAGCAACTTGATAGGATGATTTATGGAGAGTAAGGATTAAATATGATTTATTAATGTATTATGAGAATAATATATTAAAGGAGAAATCATATTGTTTAATTAATATTAGTCAATAATTAATTGGTAATTAGTTTTGTGACTAAAAGAGATTAATTAAACTTAAGGGACTGGAATTGTAATTATAGGATAATTGCAATTTGGGCCATGGATTGCCTTATATTAAGGGATGGACGAATTCTAATGGGAAACCCATAAGGAAATCGTCCATGGGCTTAATTAAAGAAGTCTATGGGTTGCTTAGGGCTTAAGCATCCAAATTAGGGTTTCCTTGTTAGATAACCCTAATAGCCCAACTATATAAAGACCCTTAAGGCTCAAAAACGTGGCCAATGTTCTTGTAAAGGTTTACACACGTTTTTGGCAGCCTCCATCCTATCTCCTCTTCATCCTCTTGCTTATGGTGTTTGTGAGCCATTAGAGGAGTGACACTTGTGACTCTAAGCCTTCCAAAGTCAATTCAAGGAGGAATTGGGATTGTTATTGCTACATAACAATCAAGGTAACACTATAAACTTATTCTCATGTTAATATGATTATATGTATGCTAGAATTAGGGTTTATAGTCTTGGATTCAAAGCATGTACAATAGAGAAACCTAGATCCAAGCATTAGGGTTTGTATGAGCACATAGGATGTCTTATGACCAAAACCCATCACAAACTTGCTCTGAACCTTGTTACTGTATCTAACAATCTCGGTAATTCTCTTCGAATACCACGATTCCTTTTAGGTCGTGTGTTGACGGAGTAGAAGGTTCGTAATATCTCATGCTTTGTCATGTTGATTATTTAAGGATCATCATTTTGATGAAGATGAGCGTACTTGATATAGAAGTGACCTTGAGGAGAGATTGGTAGGTAAGTTGATCGGCATCCTGTGTTGGAAGATCATAATACATGACGGGCATAAATTGTATGTCATAAATAACTCCTTCTCGGAAAAGAGGACATATGTCTAACATCATATTCTGATTGTCTTTCAGATCTTGAATCTGAATGCTTTCTTGAAAAGCATGATCGATTTGTTCTTGAGACATGCTCTTAGACTTTGCCAACGTCTTCATTGTGCTATCCAATTCAGTAGTAATTTGTTTTTCTTTGTCTTGTGGAGGTAAATTCATGCCAGAGATGATTTGTTGACCGAATTTGGTGATTTTAAATTCCAGAGAAGAAGGAATCAAATGCTCTTCAGGGATATCATCAGGTTTCGGGTTAGAGAACCTACATCGATTTAAGTTATCCTTGGAGTAGGCACTACTAGAAAAACAGCCTTTTACGACGCTCATTGCACGTCGTAAAAGGCTCAGACGATGCGCAAATGCGCGTCAAGGAAGGCTCTGTCATAAAGAGAGACGACGCGCTTTTGAGCGTCGTCTATAGATGATGCGCATTTACGACGCTCGTTTATGACACGCAATTACGACGCGCGTTTACGACACTCAATGCGTATCAAGGAAGACCCTGTCATAAAGGAAGACGACACGCATTTGCGTATCGTAACCTTACGACGCGCGTGTTAATGACACGCAATGCGTATCAAGAAAGGCCATGTCATAAATGAAGATGAGACACATTTTTGCATATCATAATTTTAAATGTTAAAAAGAAATATTATTTATAGATTTACCTATTTTCAAATTAACTTTGTATTTAATGTTTCATAATAGAAAATAAAATTTCATATACAAAAAATAGAATCCATTTCATAAATTTAATGTCATACAATTCTATTTCTTACAATATATAAATTTGCATCTAATCTACTATGTACATCAAATTCCAACTAACTAAGTTGCATCTTTCCTTTCATAATTCTTTAAGACTAATGCTCCAAACAGTTGATTATATGGATAAGCAGTTGTACATTGGCCCATCTCACTCAATAATGACTTAGCCAAATTCAACTCACTTTCCAAGAGCTTTCTCATGTAACTAAAAGTGGAGTACCTTTGGCTTATCATCTTCCTTTTGAAGTGCTTTGATCTGGTCCTTTGTCAGGCGTTACCCTGGAAAAAAAACACAAGTGGAATTAAAAATATATTTTTAATAAGAAATAGTCAAAAATTGCATAAATCAACTTCTTGATTAGGAACATTATCCATTGTATCTTTCATTTCATCCTTCACATCTACATCCATGAAAAGAATATCATCTTCACTAGACAAGTTGAGAAGAGAATCTGGTAGAATTTTGTCTCCCCACTTTGTTGAATACTTGACCCATTTTTTGCTTTAGCATCTGCAAACATCATAAATAATTTTAGAAAACAATAAATGTAAGGTTCTTTCATGAAACCAGATAAAATTGATGTTTAATTATTTATCTATAGATACCCAAAAAAAAAAAAAAAAATTTATTACAATATATAGAGTGAACATGTTCTATCATTTCTTGCCTTGCCTGCCCAAAAGAGCTTTATAAAGCACGTAGACCACTAATTAGCATAAATTTATCAAACAGATTCAAAATTAAAATCGGGAAGATAATAAATGGATAATGTCAATACAAGAAGAAATCAAGCTTAAGCAATCCCTCCTCAAATGAAAGAATATAGACCAGAATCACATTGAATGACTAAGATTTGCTGATCCTAACATATGAAAGTCTACAATAAAACATACAACATTCTACATACTTGTATGTAAACTTGTTAGCAATTGCATACACGTACTTTATCTCTAAAAATTTCTGAACGTATTATTCTTATTAGATGTTGAAAATTGCTCACAATTTGACAGCAGGACACGAAACTGGTGAAGCTTTTTCTGAAAATAGAAAATTAAGCTCACTATATATTCTATTCCAAAAGAATGAACCATTCTATTCCATCTAGCAAAACAAACAACTTTTTTTTTTCATTCCAATGGAATACACAATTTCATTCCTCCCTGAATTCCATTATACAAAAAATACAAAATTTAAACATTATACAAGCTCACTAAAACTCAAATAAGATTTATGATAAAAAAAATCTAGTTACTTTTAGATAAAAATATATAACTTTATTAAAATGATGAAAAAATTGGAAGGAATCACATTTCTTAAGAATGGTCTATTCCATTCCATCGGCAATGGAATAAACCATTCCATTCCTTCATACAAACACAACCTAAAATAAAATTATTTCAAGAAAAGAATAGGTAGTAAGAAGAAGCATACACGAATTTAAACATTCTACAATGGGGATCTTTATTTGCAGTTTACTGATTCGAACAAAAAACCTTTTTTAATCAAAAGTTAGTAAGATGCATTTCCTAATAAACCCAACTTTAAGATAAAAATATTCAAATTGAATAAAGACACAAGCCACTAGGCTAGCATCTCAGAGGACCAATCTATCATGACCATGACATAAACATAACTCAATTTAATAAAATAGATTTCATTAAAACAAGCTAAGCAACAAATCGTTAGTTTTAATTGATAAAAACTTAATTTTAGAAGAAAATAGATAAACCTGATATGCTATAAACGGTCAAGCGTTCCAAATCTGCATTTGTACTCTTTAAGTAGGTTCTAAATTTTGAATGCCTCTTGAAATATACCTGTTAGGATCTAACCATTTTTTATAAAGGTTTGAGATACTTGTAGCAAACAATAAAAAAATGAAACTAGAATTAAGCTTGCAAGTTGATGACACAAACTCCCATTTACTGGAATGGTGAAAAATCATGATTAACACACAAATCAACAAAAAGTAAACAAAGCCAAGACATATTTAAGCTCTGAAATTATTTTAGTCCCTATAAGTTGCAGGCTTTCTTCACCTCCATATACAATACTAACATGTAAATTCCCCTGTAAATCAGATTTATCATTATATTAACCAAATTAAGCCTCAAATCATGGTGAAATTGACATCATCTTACATGATACTCTGTTATTTTAACTAACAACTTATACCAAAAGTTAAACATCCAATGGGACATTTACCTAAAGTTTCTGAATTGTTGTTGTCAAACTGTATAATATAATAGAGCAGTTGTACAACATTCACAATAGGTAAGTGATACATTATCAATCTCTTGATCACATCTAATTCAGATAATGACCATGGTTACAACTTACAAAGTTGGCCACGAGTTGGATATTCTTACCAGTGGTTTTTCGAAAAGATTCATTATCTGCAATTTTCCCATTGATAACATGATTATCATATCATGGTGAAACATGATGAACGTTAAAAGTTAAAGTTAAACTGACCTTGATGATTTCAAGCTTACTATGTAATCGATACCAATCGTTGGAAGGTAAAGATTCAACAGTTGCAATTCTAAAGTAATCTCTGGTGTTGCCTTTGGGACATTTGGTTTCCTATATATAAACCTTTCACATGTTTAAATAAGTCTTTAGAAAAAAAAAGAGTATTAATAGATATGAAAAGGTTTAAACTTCAATTTATATGTATTAGAATTAGAATATACCATCTTAAGTATAATCCAGTTCCTCCAGTAAATATTGGGACATGACCTCTACTAAGAATATCTTTTATAGCTTGTCTTCCATCATCATAGAAGTTTCCAGCAGAATAATCTGGTTGAAAGAGAAGAGATTGTTAGTTTGTAGACTGAAACAATGGTTTACAACATGTAAGGGATAAATACCTTCAGCAGGGTGTAATGCACATGTCCCACACGGATTGCCAACATGGACATGTGCTGACGTGGACCTCCTAAAAATTCTTCCCGAAAATGTCTCAAATGCCACCTTCATAGTGTGAATGAAACAAATCTAGAATATTTAAAAAAATAGCAATTTTGACATGTCAGCAAAAAAAATTAAAAAACATATGTTTGTACGTTATAACAAACAAATAAATACCAAGGCTTTGTCGGACGACTTTTGACAGATCAGCTTGGAATCTTTTTTTCATCAACATCTTCTACTTTAATATTTCTAGAAGCATCTTCCACATGTCCATTTGTTTGATTCTTGAAAACATCAAAAACTTGTACTCTTGAGTTACTTTTATGTTGTCATTCTGCAAGTTGTTTTTGTTTGGCTTCATCTTCAATTCTTCTTTGATATTTCAATGTTTCTTCAAGCTTCAAGCTCCATTTTTCTTCTCATAGCCTCATCTTCATGTTTATTCATATCAACACCATCTTCATCAACACTTCCACTGTCATAAGTGCTTGTAGCCTGCAAATGCAACAATATCTCTCAACACAATCTAAAAAAAATAAAAAATTTATTTCAAACCTTTATATCCTTCATCTTTCTATATTCCTTGTTCTTTCTTTTATTAATTTGCTTTGCCCCCTTTTTAGAATCTAAAGCAAGTTCAGCCAAGAAAGCTTCTTTAGCATCTGACTTCTCTGTTGCATCTTTTTTTGCTAAATTCCCTATATGTGCCTAAACAAAACATGAAAACACATTCATACTTAAAAGGAGCATGGGTAATAACAATAAAAAATTGACAAATAATACACCCGGTGAAGATCTTCTTTAGTACCAGCATCTCTTGTCCCCATAAACTGCCACTTGCTTCTTCTTGAACGTGATTGTGCAGCTTGCTCAACTGCAACTTCCATTTGCTTAATTTGCCCATGTAATCACCACATAGCTAAAACCCCTACACAACAAACCAAACAAAACAAAAATCAACAAAAAATATTAATTAGCAAAAACAAAAACAAAAAAAAGTCGAAAATACCCTTAAGGTTAACAAGAGAGGTCGTTATTCCAAAAACAGATGGAGAAGAAGAGAACAGTGTTCGTACCTGATTTCGGGAATAAAAGAATCTTTAAAAATTGAATGTAAGAGAAAGAAATCTAGGGCACATACATGAAGAAGTAGATAACACCTTTCGAACCTGATGCCTCCTCCGTTTTTGTTTTCCGCATTCTGATGCTCTCGATCGTACCTTGAACCTCTGACTTTCGATCCAAAATCTGACTTGCAATCTTCGATTTCTAATCTTCAATCTGTAATTCGAGTCATATAGTTCCGAATCTCATAAAATTAACCTTGCTACCTCCTATTTCTGATGAAAGAGGAGTCTCTAATCTGAGAGAAAAATGAGGAGTCGCTGGCTCAAATCTACGACTTTACATGATATTTTTCAGAAAGGAGTCTTTGCAGAGCATTGGGGTTTTTCTTTATTTCATAACCCTCGCACGTACTGATTTGAGAGAAAATGAGAGAAGCGGAAGCTTGGAAGAAGATAAAACCCTAGCATGTGCTAGAGAGAAGGGAGGTGGCGATGGCTTAGGGTTTACAGAGAGACGGGAGGTAGAGAATGAAAGGAGATCTAGAGGAGAGAGTATCAGAGAGGGGAGAGTGGATTGCAAGTATGAAAGATAGATAGAAGATAGAAAAAACAAGGCGGGTTTTCAAAATTTTGGGGATTTCGTTCCCCCTTGTCTACTAAAAGCGCGTTTCATTAAAATTATAAAGCGACAGGTACAGACGACGCGCGTTTAAGATAAAATGCCCTCCGTGTTTTTAATTTTTTTCTTGAGACACTAAATTAAGGGCATGCAATAATGCGTGATGTAAATCCTAAATTTTTTTGGAGAGATAACACTATTTTAAGGGCACGTCCTTTTGCGTATCATTAATCAGCGCGTGTCGTAAAAAGCGCGTCATTAAAGGTCTATTTTCTAGTAGTGAGGGATTGGAGGAAACATAGATTAAGTAGCTCGGAAAGCATCGACGGTTAACTTTGTATTGATTTTTGCCATATCTCGGCTTCGGATGAACATTTCTACTAAGGATGATATCTACGTAACCGAGGACACTTTCATCTTTTTTGCATCCAAAAGAACCTTTACCAACTGTTCCCTAATAGCTTGAGTTCCCAAGACAACATTTTCAGCCATGTATTCTTCTTCATCTTCTAAATCAAGAGGTTCTAGAGTTTCAACCTTGAAAATTTCTTCATCAGACGATTCATCTTGGAGCACAAAGTCCAAGACAAGTTTCTAATGAATTCTTCTTTCTCTTTCATTAGATCCTTGTCACCCTATCGAATTAGAAGGCCTTGTATCCAATGCAAGTTTGGCTTGACTTTGAAGTTCACTCAACCCTTCAAACACTCATTGAAAGCTCATGTTGATATGTTTGTAGAGAGCATCATAAGCTTTGGCTATAGGAGCTTGAGCTTTAAGATGGGCAAATGTTTCATCAATAATTATGAACATTTCATCGAATTTATTATTCGAAACATCAACAATATTCCAGGGAGCTCGGATCAGCTTGATAAGAACATGTTGTATAATCATATTAATTTCATCCTTTTTTCGAATCTCCTTTCCCAGCCTTTGAATTTGTTTCTCATGATGCACATGAGTTTTCTTGATGAGTTCATTGGTAGCACTACTCATGTTATCATGAATCTTAAGCATAGTGGTAGTGGTGGAGATCTAATGATCGAGGCTGTTGTTATACTTCTGTTTGACTTCTTCAAGGGTGTGCTTGAATTGGAGGGAAATTAGTTGGTCAAGTTGATTTTCTCAATCGAGTTCGGAGGGGCCAACATCTTTAATCTTGGAAAGAGATTTGAGAATGAGCCCTAACTTGGAGTCGAGACTTGTAACCTTATGATCAGTCTTGGAGTCAACATTTGCGACTTTGAGGTCAAGTGAGTCAACTTTATAGACATCAGATGCAACATTATCTTAGAGTCCTAACAATGTAAAGGGATTATGTTTTCATTTGAAGATCTTGTATCCGAGATAGAACTCTCGGATTTCTTATCATTATCATCATCATTGGGATCATATTGTGGTTCATATGGCTTGGGATTATTAACTTGATTGGTTTCAACATTTAGTTATTCTTCTTGTTATCCTTTGGACTTCTCGAAGGAGGAGAAAAGACCGAAATTATACGTTGGTTTAGAGGACAAAGGCTTTTTTAACATTTTGAAGGATGTGAAGATCAGAATGGCACCAACATGCATGTTATCATCTTCAAACATGACATCATCTAAGTGATCCTTGTCGGAGGGCGGCATGGAAGCCTCTTTGGTTGAGAACTTTGGAGGAGGGTCATCCGTAACAATGGTAGGATTAGGAACATCTCCTGTAGTGGTTTGCTAAGTTTCTCCTAAAGGATGGAACACTTGATCAGTCTCTTCATCTGATGGAAAACTGAATGGAAGACGACTTTGAATGGTTCTTTGACGCATAAAGATACACCTATACTCTACTTGTGCTCATGTAAGATCCGAATGTCTAGAGTGACATCTATCAACATATTTAGGCCAACCTTTGTCAAAAATACCAGATCATCCTTTACTTGAAGTAGGTATCATACCGGTTGAGGCTTTCAAAGTAAGAGGGATTGCTCCAGCTTCGGAAAGCTTAGAATCAGAGGCAGGGGTGACTGACTGTGCTTGTGTAGAATCGAATGGGATTTCCGAAAATACTCGTGAGTGTGTCCCAGGGGGCTTTTAGGGACTATTTTCAATACCAATACCATCTTTTTGGGAAAATGGGGGTAGGTTGTGTGTAGACTCCCCATACGTGTGTTCACGTGTTATTGAAACTCCGAAGGGTACTTTGGAAGAGTAGATGGGAAGGGTAGGCGGTGATCCAGAGTCAGATCGACTGCTAATCTAGGAATCTTGTTGAGAGGATTCACTGTAGTTAGTTCTCTTTTTGGTTCTAAATTTTGTGGTAGAGGCCTTTCGTTTTTCCATTTTTTTTCTTATATCCACCAATAGAAACTAGTTTGTTCACATCCAAGGGAATATCATTTGAGACTTGGGTAGATTGTGTTGGGTTGTACACAACCAAATTCTGAAGATGATGTTTGAGATATGGTGAGTCGGATGGAACAACTGCTAATATATGTATAGGTAAATGCCTGATAGGTCCGAAAAAGGATTGGTTTGATAGCATGTAGGTTTTAATAGATTTTAATAAGCAATATACCTCTTGAATGTTAGAATTAAGAAGAGTGACCTCATGTCACTCAAGGTAAAGCAGTTACAGAGTCAGAGCCCAAAATCACGGCCTTGAGATCTCATTTGGCTTCTTTTTGATGGCGAACTTCCGAAAGTACTATCAGTGCACCTTGATTAGATTGACAACGTTGTTTCATCCTGAGAAAATGATGTACATAACGTACAACCAATCCTTTCAAATTGTGTATGTGCCACCATGCTTGCTGGACAATCTACAAAGGATGAGACACATCACTATGCTCCATAAACTGGAAACTACAGATTTCTTGAATTCCTTGGCTTTGAATTATCCTTTATACCTAATATGGTTACGAAATATTTGAAACTCTTGAGTTGAGGGTTCTTGAAAATGAAAACCCGTAGGGTTTTCTGGAATTCTGACAGCCTTGTGGAAGGTACTTTTGTGAAGAGGAAAAATCTTATCATCGACAATATTTACTTCCACCACTTCTCTATCTATCTTGATCCTTTCAAAATCTTTGTGAAGAATGCGTAGGGGAAGGCTAGGGTTTTTGGATTTTTGTAAAAGGAACTATGATAGGGTGATGGGAGATGAACTTGATCTTCACTTGAATGGATTCATCATAATCCATTAGATCAAGTGAAAAAAGTTGAGTAGTTTTTCTGAGTATGAACTGTTGCGTTTTGAGCATTCTAACACTCCTATAGTGTACATGCAAATGTAGAAACCTTGGATCTATGTTTATCTATGATACATGTAAAATTTATTTTCTAAGGTTCTTAACCTATCTAGCATACATTGGAACTGTTAATCATAAAAGATCATAAGAAAACATACCTTGTAGTACTTTGGATTCCTTTAGAACCTTGTGAGCATAGCACCCTAATTGTGATGCCTCAAATGTATCACGCAACAACAAATACAGTTGGAATAACCTTGAGAGAAATGGAACACTTCTAAAATTAGCTATGCCCTCTTGTTCTCACACTAGTGCCCATTTTCATCTACAACATGTTGCTTATATAGTCTGTCATAATTACGGTTACACCATGTAAACCCTAATTTGACATGGCTGTTCATTTTCATGATCCATGGGTTCAAAGACACCATGGAGCATCCATGGTGCATCCTATGGGTTTTAGCCCAACTTGATAATCCATAGAGCATTAGTCCACTATACAAGTATGAGTGATTTACGCAATCAACCCATATATTTAAATTGTCTTCTTTCGATCACTTAATTAATATCAAATTAATTCTTGGTCAATACTAATTAAATATTATTGTTAATATATTAGAACTTATAATATATTAATAATCCTTAAGTGTTATTTCTATAATTTTTGTCTATCCAAATGCATGATGCCATGCAACCCAAAAGGACCATGCTAATCGGGTCAAGTACATTCTAGAAATAGTTATGAACTTAGACACCTAATCCAATAGTCTCCCACTTGGATAAGTCTAATAACTATATCTCTAAGAATAACTTCAGGATCCGATCAGCAATCATAGCTCTTTCAAGGTCTCACAGAACTAAGATGATGATGATACGCCATTTAAGATAAATTATCATATAATCCTCTGTTCTAGATATATCAGCCGGACATATACATGGAACAATGTCTTACTTATTGTCCAGCAGTTTGTTTCTCGATTTCTGATTTGTTTGAC